CAAGAAAATCGAATCTTACATGCCTCCCGCGACCGCATCCTTCATGGACACCAAGTTCGGCGCATACGGTCTTCCCAACGGCAGCTTCAAATCACTGGGCCTTGAGACCTGCATGACTCCGGCCAAACGAGGCGGTTGCTCGAACGACTTGCCAGTCGTCCTCTTCTCAGGCGCACTCGCTACATCCCGACACCTGTACAACGCCATGCTCCAGAACATCGCGGCTACTGGTTATGTGGTGCTTTCCATTGACCACCCCTACGATGCGGATATGGTTGAGTTCCCGGATGGCACCATAGTGACGGGTGTCGATATCGAGAGCGATGCCGAGATTGAGCTTGCACTCAACACACGAGTCGCAGATATCGAGTTTGTCTCCAAGCAAATGAAGAACGCCTCAGCCATCAAACACCTACTTCCGGGATATGTGGGCGGCAAGAACGCACCCGAGATGGCTGTCGTCGGACACTCTCTAGGAGGCGCAGCAGCTGCCAGCGCGATGATGTCAATAACCTCACTCAAGGGCGGAGTCAACCTCGACGGCTCCATGTTCGGTTCCGTATTGACAACCGGCTTCAACAGCCCCTTCATGCTAATGGGCCACGAGAACAAGACACGAGAAACCGACCCATCCTGGAAGACCATCTGGCCAAACCTGACTGGCTGGAAGAAGGAGTTTGAAGTCAAGCACTCAGCACACTACAGCTTCTCGGATCTCCCCTTGGTCATTTCTGCATTGAGTCTGGATGGGAAATTGCCAGCGCAGGTAGGAGAGCTGCTGGGTTCTATTGAGGGGCGTAGGATGACGGGCCTTACGACTACGTATGTGACTGCTTTCTTGGATATGGTGTTGAAGGGTGGGAAGGAAGGTGCTTTTGCTAAGGCTGGCGGTCGGTTCACTGAGGTTGAGGAGGTGGCTTAGGCGATGAGGAGGATGTCGCGATTGGAGTTGTGCCTTGGTGTTGGAGGTACAAGGGACGATGTTAGTATTCTATAGTTATGTCGATAGTCCTTAATCATTAAACTGTAGTGGCTTACCGTATCCTGGTATTACATTAGTCCCGACATCAAGTCCTTAAACTCCATGATTCAACATCTTGTGTCGTAACTCCTTACTCCTGTCAATGGCGTCTAGCGTTTGCCTAATTTGGTGTTAGCGCCGTTGCCGTGCACGAATCCCCAGCCGGTCTTCGGCAGAACTTCTTTCACACCACTCGTCTCTAACAGCAACAGCGCCCACCAGCTCACCTCCATAATGAGGCTGCCAAAGCCAACCACAAAGCAGCTCAGTTCTGGTGCGCGCGTGCCTACTCCAACGACGCATCCGTCCTCCGTTCCCGCTCGCAGCGGATTTGGGAAGAAAAATGCCCAACGGCACCAAAGGTTGCGTACTTTCGACGATAGACCGCCGCCGTCAAGTCTGGATAGCCAGAAACAAGAACGCTTTGATGATGCATCATTCCAGCTGTATCTCGAAAAACGACTGGAAGAGTTAGGAGAGGACCTCAAACTTTTGACGCGCAACTCTCCATATTGACTGCTTGCAAGCTTTTTCAGCAACACTACTTTCTTCTGCAACTATAATTGGAAAGATTTTCCCGAAAAGCCTTGGATTTCGGGAACGACATCCGTGGAGACAACTCGTTCTTTATGCCGAGGCCAGTATCACAAGATGGTAAAGGATAAATATCTGCATAGTCGTAGAGACATCGAACAGAAATGCCCTAAGCTACACAGATACCTGGTAGAGTATCATGGCAGTACACGGCAAGCTATCCTTAGCACATTACCACTACGGATAGCTACGGGTGACGCATTGACGACTGCACACCTCCTCGCAGACCGGAAATTTGTGAAACGAGCTCTAGACTTGCGCACGACGGTCAAGAACATTTTTCATACTGCGATGCTCATGAACAAGATGCTCAAAGAACTGGAGAATACTCGCGTAGTGTCGGCAGCATCACTATTTGACATGGACTACTTCCAGATCAAGGTACAATTTCATTGTAAGAGGGAAACCCAACGAGAAGCTTTGCGAAATGTGCGTAGGTCAACGCAACATGTACGGTCGACTGTCGAGCCATCCGCTTCAGACTCTGGACTTGGCCTGTGGAAACGTATCTCTGCCTTGCCACCACGGTTTCATGGTAGCCATTGGCTTCAGTTGATTCTCAATCCTCGGGAGACTCAAACATCTCAGCCAAGGCACAACTCCGCTTCGACACAATACAACCGAGCTGGTGCGGCTCGGGTCAAGCCTATTCACCATTTCTACGACCATTTTGCTTTCCTTGACAAGCATTCTCAATTATGGCCAGCTTCTATTCTACGTCTCATGCATTACGAGATGAACAAAATGTTCGGCCGACTGCATGGGCAAACAATACCGCATTTCTTAAACGAACATTATAAGATGACGAAGGCGAGGGCTCATCAAATACCTGTCCCTGTTGTTCACGCGCGTGTCGCGCAGTGGATCGCAATACGGAAGTTGCAGGCCCAGATTAACATGACTGCAAAGGAGCTGGTGGACATGGTTGACGACCTCTTCGACTTTCAAATCTTCCAATATACCAACACATCTGTCCGGATATCGCAGGTTTTGATTGACAAGAGTCGTGCTATAGGAATGGAGATGCTGGAACGCGAAGAATCGTGAAGACACTGGGTACATGGAGAAGGCTGCGATCTGAGTTTAACAGGCGGTTTGAGCGCTACAAGAAAGATGTCAGAATTTTACGAATCAGCACATGCATCAATTCCATCTGCTAGAACGAGAACCGCTCTCGTCAGCATACGTTCTACCGGAGTACTACACAGTGTCATGTTGCAGTCTCACCTGGGCATACTAGAGCCCTATGTCCTGCGTGGATTCTTGTTCTAGGGTCGCATACCAAGACATACACACCATTGAGACCGTCATAGCACGTGTCAAAAGTGACAGCCCATGCCACCTCACGAGCGGTGGCGCGTGGTAAATGTCAAAGACGATTGACTAGCAACGTTATGGCCGGATCCTACCGAGTATCGAGGGGCACAATCGCATGTACCTGTACTAGCACAAGCGTATCCACAGAGCTGGCGTTCTCTCCTCATTGTATGTCATTGTACCGCATCGTATCCATGGACGTGAAGAATGACCTACGGAGAAGAGTACGCGCTGTGACGATGCAAGCTGTAAGACGTGCGGCTATGCGGCGCGCCACCAACCTGCTAATCAGCTTCTTGCAGAATACATCGACATTTGAAATCATTAATAAGAACAACAGGAGCGAAAGTGACGTTTGAGGTGCACCACCAGGAGGGCTAGATCCGAGGCTTGCCGTGCGATTAAACGTTCTTCCAGTGGTCCCGATGTTTCTAGCGTGATGACGTCACCCGCAGCTGTCGCGCTACATCTATGATATGGAGTGTATCAGCACCACGCGTCAGGAGGGATCCTAAAGAACTATAGCACTTTTACAATACCTCAATTACTTCAATCATGGCACCCAAGATCTTCCTGTATGTATATACATTGCAAAGCTAGTCAACTCTGCTGACGTTTCTATCCACGCAGCACCGGCGCGACTGGGTACATTGGAGGCGACACCCTCTTTGCGCTGTACGACAAGCACTCTGATTACGAGATTGCGGCTCTTGTACGAACAGGTGAAAACTATCCTTCTTGTCATTGACGGTGCATTGTGCTGACAATGGTGAAGAGGAAAAAGCAAAGACTGTCACCGAAGCTTTCCCCAAGGTGCGGATCGTCATCGGTGGTTTGGATGACTCCAAGACTCTGGAAGAAGAGGCAGCAAAGGCAGATGTAGTCATTCGTGAGTAGCTCATAGCCTCACTCAGCCATAGAGTCGACACTAACAATCGCAGACACCGCAGATGCATCCGACCACGAAGGCGCCGCAAAGGCCATCGCAAAGGGCCTAGCATCCGGCCACTCCAAAGAAAAGCCCGGCTTCTGGCTTCACACCGGCGGCACCGGCATCCTCTGCTGGGAAACCATGCGCGACGACAACAAACTAGGCGAATGGTCAGAACGCGAATACAACGACTGGACCGCCGTGCAAGACCTAACCGGCCTACCAAAAGACGCCTTCCACAAGAACGTCGACGATCTCGTACTTTCCGCCGGATCCGAATCAGTCAAGACAGCTATCCTCTGCCCACCTACCATCTACGGACGCGGACGAGGCCCATCGAACACCCGGAGTCGACAAGCGTATGAACTTGCGCACCTGATCTTGACCGGCGAATACATCCCCATCATCGGCCAGGGAAAAGCCCGCTGGAACAACGTTCACGTCTCAGACCTCGCTCAGCTCTTCGTTCTACTCACCGAAGCCGCGGTGAACAACAACACCGATGCTAAGCTCTGGAACGAACAGGGTTACTACCTCGTTGAGAACGGTGAACATCTCTGGGCTGATCTCGCGCGTCTGATGGGTAAGAAGGCGACGGAGTTGGGTCTTGTTAGCAAGAAAGAGTTGAAGGAGCAACAGCTGGGTAAAGATAAGGCGATTGAGCAGGCGGGCTTCGAGGCTGTGAGTTGGGGGTTCAACAGTAGGGGCAAGGCGGAGAGGGCGAAGAAGTTGGTGGGATGGCAGCCGAAGGGACCGAGTATTGAGGATACGGTTGAGGAGATATTGAAGGATGAGAAGCAGAGGTTGGAGAAGAAATGAGTGGCTAAGTAACTTATCGATGTAGATTAATTCTTATCTGGGGAAGCATCAACATGCATGCAATCACGGCTCAGTAAGGCGAACCTCCGCACATCTTGGCCGCACCATGCACATGCTGCGCCACAATCCTCAGCCGGCCTGATGTTTCACACGCCAGGCAGCAGCAGTTGCACCTGATTGCGCTTTCAGATTTCCAAGAGTACAAGTTACGCCGAGGTTTCGTTCCATTTTACGTAGGACGCGAGCAGACAAAAGTCTTCTCCGTACACTACATCCACTTGAAGCCAGCAGCTCGCCCATTTGACCAAGTTCATCACTATGGCGAGTATCGAAAGCCGCCCCCTTGGGCAACAGGCTCTTCGTGGCTTTGGCATCTTCCAAGCCATCGTTTCCATACCGACAATGGTAATACTGGGCTTCTTTGCATGGGAAAAGATGACATATGCCTGGGAAGAGAACTATTACTACTTCTTGTACGTGCGCCGTCTACCCACAGACACATTTCACCAATCCCTTCATGCGCAGATCAACTAACGTCTGCAGCGCATCTTCCATAACGGCGCTCATGTCCGCCGGTATTGTGTTCATCGTATACGTCCAGCGCAAGGCCATTGCGACACCGTTCCAAGCGTTCATGTTCGAGATCGCGAAGTCGGTCCTTGCTACAGGACTATGGCTTTGGCTTATCTTGGACTCTGCGTTTGGCCCAGGTCGAGGTTACTATACAGACCCGAAATATGTGAAGAGACGGGTCCAGCGTGATGCGCTCGCCAGTCTATTGTTGCTGTGAGTCTACGGCCGTCGAAAGGAGTAAACCAGGGCTAACTTCGTGCCGTGTCTTCTTCTATCCGCCGCTTGGGTATGCCTATGTTGTTTGGAGGACGAAGAGTAGTCACGGAGACGTTGAGCGCGTAGGCGACGATGAGGAAGGAGTAGATCGAGCGGAACGATCACCGCTGCTATCGCGAAACAGCGGGAGGGTCCTGGGTTAGCGCTGTGGTGTTAGCCACATGTCTTGAGCACTCCTGTGAACGGACTCTGAGGGCTAGATGTCAGATGTAGAGAGGCAATCAACTCTGATCGCTGAACAGACCAGTCCTTGAAAGTTGTTGTATGTGCGACCAAATAGCGTAAAGTAAAAGTATTTCTTTTTGGGGTATGGTACAGGTGCCGTTCAAATACTGACTCTTCCATGTAGCCACTCACTGCTCGCACGCTACGTTCACGTACGGCTACCACAGCGAGCGTACGTGACCACGGTGTGACATGTCCTTCCTTGGGACTGTGTGTTGATCATGTATCGATAAGTCGTCCCTCATCGTAAAGTGAAATAGGCCGTTCGCCTTCCTTTTGTTCACTCTTCATAGCGAAGGTATCCGTGTCCGTGTGCCTCCACAAATTTCAATCAAGCCTCTTATTCGGAGCTGACTCCATTTCTTCAGAAGTCGTTGGGCCAGCACTTCTCCTTGGGCCATGTTGTAGCGTCGTGGCTAGCGGCATGGGCCTCGAGCTGCGCCTTGTTGGTGTTGACGATTTCGCGGCGGCAGTTCTGGCACTGTATGGGTTCAGGTAGTCAGCTATGCGCAATGATGCCGTGCAATGCAAGAGCATCAGGTGAGAAGCGCAAGAGTGCCTACGATGGACGTCGGCTTAGGCGCCTTGACGGGCAGGCCGTTTGCCTTGACTGGCGCGCGGGTGCCAGCCTTGTCGGCTTTCTTGTGCTCGCGCTGGATCTGTAAGATGTCAGTAACTCTGTACCAGGTAAAATGAACTGATTATTCAACTTACTCTATCCTTCTTTGAAATAGGCATTGTCGTGGATCGAGTGGATATGTTGGTGTAAAAACGAGGGGAAATGTTCTGCAAATAGCGCGGGAGAGCGCGATCACTTTGATCAGGGTCTCGCTTAGCGCGTAGTCTGACAGATAAGCCCCGCTTATCGCCGCCTTGCCTCACATCACGAGCCATACTACCTTCACACCATTGACATCGCTTTCAAGCTTTCGAAAGCTCAGCTCGCAAAGATACAGCAAGTTATCGAACATGAGAATTTCCGCCCACAAATCTTGGTGTGCACATGGCACTAATCACGATACGTCTATGTCGTCCGCTTGAACATCTTACGGCAAGGTCGCAAATCTGGACTTCATTGCTACCTAGGTAGAAGTAATAGTCTTTCATGATGCAACGTGAGATGGCAATGCTTGCTGACTACGAAAATTCGATGTCTTCCAGCGGCACTCCGCGTTTTAGCAGCTCTGATTTCGTCAACCTCGGATCATGAGCTGACCATGCGTCTGGCGCACTCTCATGGCTAAAGTGGTCCCAAAAATATCCTTTTGCATCAATTCCTTGACGCCACCCTGGTGGCAATTCAGTCCTCAACCTTGGATCTTCGATCTCAATCTTTCCGGATTCTGTATGTAGAAAGGCCCAGCAGTACTCCCTTGATTTCGCGTCATACTGCATCACCTCTTTAAATCCACCCGGTAGGGGGCCCAATAATGCTTCGTTATTATCGAGTCCAGATACGTAGCTTTCTCCAATGATCTTATAACTCCCATCTGGAACTGCGCGAATGATCATGGGAACGTTACACCCAAGCAGGACGCATACGTGGTCGCCCTCGCGCGCACCTAACGGGCCTATGCCGAGATGGTGGGATGATGTTCTGAAGAACACTCGCCGTTCGCAGTGTCTGAAAATTTGAACTGATAACATATGCTCTCCTTGGTACATGTCGAACTCGCCGTCCTTGAGCGTTACAGTGTCGTGAAGAAACGCTAGGATTGACTCTAAACTTGGAAACTTCTTCGAAGGTGGCACGTACAGGTCCGATACGGCACCTCCACAGATACCAAGACAAAACGCTTCAGCCATGGATTTGCCATCAACGTAATCAGAATCCATATCGAGACCTTTTGCCCACCGTCGGATGGAATTGTAATCGTAATATGACCCATCAAAACTGTCCACCATAGTGATTCGACCCAACCTTAATCCCGTCACTCTCAACACCCTGTCTTGTAAAAACGCTACCTCGCACGCAGTATTTCCGGAAGCGTGCGATTGCGTCATGGCGCTTATAACCAAGTTCCTGAGATCAGGTGTCCATGAGGGCCAATTTCCCAATCTCTCGTCGTAGTCGCATAGACGTAAAAGTTCAAGGCTTTTCGAAGTCCGGATATAGCACATCATAAGATCCGTGTATACATCTCTCACTGATTTCTCGTAATCGGGTCGTAGATCTATTCTCATTTCCGTTGTGGATGATAGTCCGAGAATGCCGTATACGCGATCTCGCGGATCGATGCATCGAGAATGTTGCATGTTTGCAAGCAAAGACGAAAGCGTTGTCCTCCTGGGACTTGCAAGATAGCCGGCATGATTCATGAGCGTTGCGGGACTATGCGATATCCGACTCTTGGAACAAATCACACTTCTCTTGTAGCCGGTAAAACACAGCAGAGTTTGGAGTTTTCCCCAATGCGTTTTGTCCATGCCGCTCAACATCATCGCATTTGGTTTAGCCAGTCGGATCTCCTGCCATATCCAGAGTCGCTGGAACCACGGTCGACTCAAAAAATTTACAATCGCCTGCCAGGTTGCTAAGTCATAGGGAGGCTGTTCTCTTGCGTCGCTCCAATGAGCATCTTGTGGTTGGTCGGATAGACTTCTTACTTCAAGCGTACCAAGGTCAATCTCCACCTTGGTAGCGAGGAACTCGCATGTTTCCATGACTGTCTTGCTGTCGGCATCGTCCAGCCCTAGCCAAACAATGACTCTTTCTGCTAAGCTGAAGATGTCAGCCATCCGCTGAACCTGCTGACCTTTCTCGCCCAAGTCCTTCTGATTGATAGCAATACTATCGATCCACAGTACTCGGGGCGAGACGGGGTCGCGGAGATACGGTAAGGCTTCCGCAAGGTTTTCGGTGATATCGATGCTGTGGTCGCTGATCGACGAAACTCGAAGCCTGCATGGTGATTCGGCCGAACCCCAGGTATATGAGAGCGCTTCATACTGTGGTACATCTTCTTCTGTAAGCCGAACGATGTTGATGTCGCAGATCACTTCGCTATCTCGATCCGCTGCGGGTAGTAAAGTGATGAGTCGGATCTCATCGTTGCTTTCGTCCAGTGGCTGGTAGACGTATTGAGCCATTTCTGCTGTCTCCACAGCCATCGAGCAGCCGTGGTCGAATGCAACAAGTGGTGGGCGGGTATCTCAAGCAAAGGTTGCAAAAGTGTATGACGAGCGAAACGATATAGAGTGTACTGCATGTGGTGGCCGACAGTAGGAGATGTCAGCTAAAAGCTGCATAAAGAGGACGTCTAGCTTTCTTGTACAGTTAGTGGCGCATCTTATCTGCACAATATCAGCGCGCATGACGAGGTGCACGTCAGCCTTCAGCCTTGTGCGGGGTGCTCAACACGTTGCAGTTGCTACTGCTGCAGTGATTCGCTGGGCAGATGAGAGTGTGAAAATCCTCATGTATTGCGCTTCTTATCCGTGCACTGTAGCTGATTTATGGGATGCGAGTGCGTAGTGAGGAGGCATTGCAGTGTCATGACACCTAAATTGTCCCTCTATTGCCGGCGGCAGGAGCAAACGACATACGCGGAGCGAAGAAGATTGCATCCATCAAACACAGTCTTCGGTGCGACAACGGAACATGACAGCGAAAGTAATCAACGATCTCGATAAAGAAGAGAGATCGTGAAGGGCGCCGCACGTGGCGAAGAAGCCCCGAATCGCGGCTTCCACTTTCCACGTTCTGGCCCTTGCCCCAATTGGCCAGCGGAAACAAACAACGCGCTATTTTTATCAGAACTTCCGCCGCGCTGACTACCCAAACCTCTAATTCCTCAGCGCGCCCTCGATAAATATCCTAATTCGCAACAGCCTGCACGCCCGGCACTGAAAGCCAAGAAGACTGCCTTGGACGATTTTTGATCGATTTTCTACCACAAAGACAACGAAATGGCGCGTGGCAACCAGCGCGACAAGGCTAGGGAGAAGAACCTCAAGGAGCAGGCTGGAAAGGTATGTTTGAGCCCCGTTTCTGACACCACGAACATTGGTTATATCAGTCGTTGTTCCCCTAAAGAAAGATCGCGCTGACTCAATAAATAGAAAGGCAAGAACACTGTATGTGTGTCCGGGAGAGACTGGCGATAAAGGCCTCGAAGGGTGTTGGCTAACCACAGGCTGCAGCAATCCGGTACCGAATTCGCGCGCACCAAAGAGAACGTAGCAGAGATCATGCGCGCTAAACAAGCTGCTGGTACGTCGAATTTCTCTTATCTTGATCACGCATACCTCAGAAAGGCCATGCGATACTCTCGAGACGGCGACGCTGACTGCCTGTGTAGCTGAGGCAAAGAGGGCCGCTGAGGGCGCTAAGAAATGAGCGGTCAGACAAGATGCCGCAACGCGACAAACGACAACATCTTGACACCACCACCGCCGTCACAGTCAAGCTGTTTAGAAGCCTATCATCATGAAGTGGAGTTTCCTGGGTTTGGATTAGAAGGCGAAGGAGTGTGCTTGGATTGATTCTTGGATATACCGAATACACCGATTTCTGATTTTGAACGCCGTGAGGAGCCCATTGCGCCCTTTTCCCATGCAACACACTCCAGTCTTCATCACGATTAAAACGCAAACACCAAGCACTAATAGCACTTTTGAACATGGCAAAGATTGCGAAAGTGCGATCTCTTGGATCTAGCTCTAATACTAAAGTTTTTCTACAACGTTACAATCAAGTCTGTTAACTCAAACAGCACCACCGCGCGGCTACCATTGCAGCATGTGGATTACGGTATAATGCGAAACGCCCCAGCAAATGATAAAAATGGTATAAGGATCCGGGGGGAACAAATGCTAAACCAGAAGCTTTCTTGCCCGAACCCGTCGTAAGAATGTTGTTTCTCGACCACCACCTCCTCCCCCAAGACCGACCAAGCGCATACACCTAGTCGATCCATTCTCCTCCTCCTACTCATTACACCGTTTCTCCAAGTTTATATTCGTGAAGGCGTCTATGCGATCATGCCGGGGAAACCGCCGAAGTTGTTGATGGCGGCGGTCTCGGGGAAGGAGGCCATGCCGCAGAGGCATTGGCAGGAGCAGGTCTGGCCGGCACCGTCGGTTCCTTGTCCAGCGACGACGGTGGCGGAGGCGAGAGCACCGGTGCCAGTACCAGTGCCAGTTGCGGCGGCACCTCCAGCCTCGACGGTGACGGTGGTAGGGGCGGCAGCGGCGCCGGGGTCGACGGACTGGAGGTCTCCGGCAACGAGACCAGTGCCGTTGGTCTTGATGGCTAGGCCCTTGAAGTCGGCCATGGTCTTGTCGCCAGTCTCGGCGGCGTTGATGCTGAAGACCATGCCCTTTCCGCAGTGGATGCCGTTTTGTTGCTTGCAGTAGAACCCTTGATGATGTTAGCTGTCTTCCATGTTATCGCCAAATGTAGAAAACTTACAAAGCGGCTCTGTTGTCTCGACGGTCATGTTCCATGTGACACCAGCCTTGCCCTCGGGGTTGGGCATGAAGCCAGAGTCCATGCCTCCCTCCATCTTTTTGCAGGGCTCGGCGAAAGTTGATTGAGTGGCAGTGTGGTTCTTCTGCATGAATTCGAAGACGACCATGTCGCCGACGGCGGCCTTGATGGACTCGGGGTTGTATCCTAGTACGGGTGCCATACCAGTCTCGACGGGCTTGACTCCACCAACGACGACCTGTTGTATGTCAGACTGAGTTCAAGAGTAAGTAGCATGAGTGTACTTACAGTGTGCGTCATCGCGCCAGCTGCGACCTCGGGGGCAAGGCTCATAACCTGCATCTCGGCGGAGGCAAGTACGGCCGCTAGGGGTAGTGCTGTGAAGTACTTCATTATGACTAGATTGCGTATCGTGTAAAAGTGTCGTAAAAGTGAACGTAAGCCTGCGCTGCAAGCACTAGAATATACGATAGAAGGTTTGAAGGATTGAAAGGGCACTACGAGGGCCGGCTCGGACAGTAAGAAGCAGATGAAGTAAGAGAAAGAGACAGTGAAGCACTGGTATTATGAGGCAAGAGCGATGAGATGAGGAGAAAGTTTATGCCTGGGGATTGTCTATTCCTTAAATCCACGCATGAAATTGTTGGATTTGGAAGGCGTGCAGGCCGTTGCGCACATGGCGAAACACCAGCCCCTTGCGCTCGGCATGGCATGGGGGAAACGTTGATCGGCTGCAAGAATGGCGAGATTTTGGTGATGCGCACTTGCTTGGGCGCAACGGCGGGGGGTGTTTGGGACTCGAACCGTTGGAGGTGGGTTCGAGACTGTCGCGGTGGTGTCGCAGATCCGTCTCGCTTCTCGCCAGACAAGCCCAATGCGGTAATCTAAGAACCACCAAGGCTATAGGCGCAGGGACAGAACTAATCAGGATGCCTGGACTATGGGGCTGGGAACTCGTGAGCCGCATGGAAAACTGCAGAGCTTTCATCTCGCAGCCTGCGTTCCCGAGGAGTTGAGGCACGAACTGTGTAGGTCGTCAGTCGCGTGCAGGGACTAGACCATGGCATTCCTCACCCCATTGGTTCAAAACAACAACTTTCAAGCCTCAATATGTCTGCTTCGTCTTCTAAACTCGCTCGGCAGCCACAGTGTGATGCGCACTGCCTCCAAAATGCGTCATTCCCTGGATCCGCTACTGAGTCGCTGGGGGCTCTTTGCGAACCTGCTGCTGGCCAGCATGCAAACCAGTGTAGTAACCGGCATAGTACCAGGACATCATAATGTTCTTCATATTCTCATCTTGCACTATTGAGAGTTAGCAGCATGTCACCAACTGTCAAACTTCCACACCATCCGGAAGTAACGGCTGTCAAAATCACGGCTTACCGGTTCCAAGGATGGCCTGCGGCATGGCATCTGCAAGAGTGCCGGCAGCATGTGGCACCGGAGGAGCCTCAGCACTTGGCGATTGGATCTGCGGTTCTTGCTTCCCGGAGAGATCTGGTTCCTGGTTCTCGTAAGACAGGGTTCGGTACTGGGCTGTTTCATGTGTACACGTACCTGCTGCGGCGACGGACCGCTTTGAGCAACGCCATTGGTTTCTGACAGCGGCGTGTCTACATCTCCATGATCCGCGACACCGCTGGTCTCTGCTGTTGCCGATACGGCCTCCGCTTCATCCATCAGGTCCCCGTATTCCCTAGAAACGTTAGTATCGTGATGTAAAGGCTTGGAGAGCTGCTTACCCCCGTGCTTCCTTTAGCTCTTCCTCCGTCAGGACGTCTTCAAGTTTCTTGCCTGATTGGTGGATACTGTGGTATTTCTGTTCTGTTTAGTCGATATCCTCGCGGAAACTACGAAAACGACGCGTGTAGAAACGTACCTTGTACTCATTCACCGCCTCATCCCAGGAATCGATCAGCAGAGAATCATCCCACGCGTTCTTGTCGCTCATGTCTACAACGGGTGCCATATTGAACTTTGGATCTTCGGCGGTGTACAGAGCAAGTTGAGTTGCTAGCCTGGTAAAATGCTGTGAGAGCGTTCACTTTTTCTTTTCGGTTTCAAGTATTTCGCTTGGTGTGAGGTAAGTAACTGGAGTGGTAGGTTAATGGTGAGGGCTGGGGACTATCTTGGCAAGTGTCCATTAGCGCGACTGCCACGAAAAAAGTTCCCGCGTCTGAGCTCTCCTCCGAACTTTTGCGCGTAACAACATTCGCGACCACACAGACCCCACGCCATTACACGAAATCACAATGGCTGTCCAAGACACTACAGGAAAGAAGCGCAAGGGTGAGCAATTGCGATATTAATAATTCCCGATCGCGTTCGCTAACTTGTCTCAGGCGCATCAGAGGCGGCGCCCAAAGCGAAGAAGCCGAGAAAGTCGGACGATGTCACGCCCGTCGAAGCCAAGCCAACGCGGAAATCTGCGCGCAAGCAAGCCGCCGACTTCATGGACATTGAAGAGGAAGCTGCGCCTGTCGCCGTTGCCGAGCCTGTCAAGCCCAAGAAGGGCAAGAAGAGCAAGGCCGCTGCCGACGTCGATACCGAGATGGCCGAGCCCGTCGCGGAGGTAGTCGAGGTCGCTGAAGTACAGGAGAAGCCTAAGAAGCAAGCAAAGAAGGGCAAGGCCGCCGCCAAGGTCAACACCGAGGTCGCTGAGCCTGTCGCTTCCGTTGTAGAGGTCACTGAAGTGCAAGAAAAGTCCAAGAAGGGTGGCAAGAAGGGCAAGGCTGTAGTCGCAGAGGAGACTGTCGTGGCAGAGGCTCCCAAGGAGAAGGCTAAGAAGTCTAAGAAGGGAAAGGTTGCAGAGCCTGAGCCCGTTGAGGACGCTGTCGCTGTAGTAGAGAAGACTACCACAGTCGCAAAGCCAAAGAAGGCGAAGGGAGGAAAGAAGCAGGAGGCGACCGAACCCGAGGTCGAGGTCACCGAGGTCACAGTGGCGGAAGACGACGCAGACGATGCTGCCGAAGACGACCAGACGGCAGCTCTCCTCGCTGGCTTCAGCGACTCCGACTCAGACGACGCCGATGAGGACGTCAACTTTGACGAAGAAGCAAAGGTTCCCAAGCTCAGCGCAAAGCAGCGGAAAGCGATCAAGCAGGCCGAGGCGGCACCCAAGTCCAACCAGCCTGGTGTTCTCTACGTTGGGTACGTAGACCAGTCCATTCTATACTACAAATTGCTAACAATGCACCTAGTCGTGTGCCCCGCGGTTTCTTCGAGCCCCAGATGAAGCAGTACTTCTCGCAATTCGGCAAGGTGAACCGGTTACGCTTGTCACGCAACAAGAAGACTGGTGCTTCCAAGCACTTCGCTTTCGTCGAGTTCCAATCCGAAGAAGTCGCTGACATCGTCGCACGAACAATGAACAACTACCTACTGTTCGGTCACATCCTCAAGGTCCACCTGATTCCTGCCGAACAGGTACACCCCGACCTCTTCAAGGGTGCCAATGAGCGTTTCAAGGTCGACCCTCGCAACAAGAAGGCCGGTCTCGAGATGGAGCGCGGTGTTGAGCGTGCGCAATGGGAGAAGCGCGTGGAGAACGAGAACAAGAGAAGGACAAGCAAGGCTAAGCAGCTCAAGGAGGTCTTTGATTACGAGTTCGAAGCACCGGCGCTCAAGACTGTCGACAGCGTCCCTAAGCACACCACCATCACTACGCTCGAGGCCGCAAAGCCCCAAGAGCTTCTTACTCAGGCGGCTACTGAGGAGACCACAGCTGCTGAGCTCCCCAAGGCCAAGAAGGGCAAGAAGGGCGCCAAGGCTCAGGCAGCACTACAACCTGCTGAGGTTACTGAGGTCACAGAGGTAGTCGAGGCTGTCTCACCTGCGCCAGCAAAGAAGGGCAAGAAGGGTGCAAAGGCCAAGCCTGTTGAGGCAGCTGAGGTCACAGAGGTAGTCGAGGCTGTCTCACCTGCGCCAGCAAAGAAGGGCAAGAAGGGTGCAAAGGCCAAGCCTGTTGAGGCAGCTGAGGTCGTTGTGGAGGAGGTTGCCGCGCCTGCCCCAGAAAAGAAGACCAGGAAGCGCAAGTCGGATGTCACGGTCGAGACTACTACCGTCACCGAGGAGACCGTCCCAGAAGTAACGCCCAGGAGCAAGCGAACCAAGAAGGAGAAGGTCGTCGTCGAGCCCATCGTCGAGGAGGTCGAGGAGAAGAAGGCCGCTGCCAAGCCGAAGAAGGCCAAGAAGGCGAAGGCCTAAACGCGCTGATATCAGCTCTGACAGCTGTCAGCTTCGTTGTACATGTTTAATGGCCGTGGCAGTTTACGACTTTCTGCATTCGACCACCTGCACCATTCTTCATCGATGAGCCGGCGTTACGTAGACAAAACGTGGTTTTAGCGTATCCATACCAATGCAGCATTCAACCATCCGCTTTCATTTCCCACCGCACGTTACGCGTGTTTTTCACATGCCATCCACCTGATTCGACGTGGTACTTCTCAAGTGGGCACTTCCCCCCTGGTCTTTACTCCACCTTTAAACCTCATATAGAAGGAGCACGAAGAATATTCGCGCTTACACTCGCTACCTGTCCAGACCTGGAAAGTTTCCGTAGAGTGGATCTTGCCTCTAGTAGGCACGGGAGATGGGTCTCGTATAAGATGACAGTGCTTCCTACGCCAAGATATCCATCACCTCTACATTGCTGATACTCTGTCAATAATATCTGTGCATTTACCCCTCATCGTTTATATTTTCCCATCTCCATTCATATCCATCACTTCACAATGGCAGAGAACGACGCACGCCTTGCGGCATCGCAAATGTATGATTCCGTTACATCCCTACCCCCAGCCAAACGCCATATCATCACCCACAACGCAGAGGGCAAAAGTACTGTCCATTCGAGCCCAACGTTACAGTACTACGGATACCCCGGCATCGGTGGGACATCTCGATCATGTACGTCTTCCCATACCACCCACCCACTGGGGAAAGTAAAATGACACCATACACCGTCGATATGTCCATCAAGCAGACATACTAACACAGACCCCCCCAAACCAGACGCCACATCCTCCATCCCAGCTTCCCTCCAAAACGACCAAGATGTTGCAGCCTACACATCCGCAGAAGGAGATTCAAGCTACACAGGCCGCAGCATCGTAGCGAATGGCTCCGGCTCCCACCTCATCGTCTGCGACCTCGCTCCCGGTCAGGCTAGTATGATGCACCGCACTGTATCTATCGACTATGTAATCTGCACCCATGGCGATGTCCGTATGGAGACTGCGACTGGGGGGATGGTGGAATTGAAACCTGGTGTACGTATCCCCTTTTTTCCTCCTTGGTTTCCCCGTTTCGCGGTTGTTTTGGGAGTAGTTCAAAAGGACGCGTGATTTTGTTGTAATATTGCTGATGGATGTGGGATTAGGATCATATCATCCAGCGAGGCACGATGCACAAGTGGCATAATGCGTCGGAAACTGAGCCCGCAAGGTTCATTGCTATCACGTTGCCCGCGGAGCCGTTTCAGGTTCCAGGTACGGGGGAGATGTTGGCGGAGGAACATGTCCAAGGGAGTGAGGCTAAGGATTGGGATGTCAATAAGATGTGAATGAGTGAATCGGAGATTTGGGGAAGGATGGAGCGCAGCTAGATTCTGGAAGAGGATATAAGAGCGGCACGAGGATTTGAAGCATACGGCTATAAACCTGAAGAGATCACCATAGGTCGCACCCAAAGTTATATAGACGTTCAAGGATTTCATTTCGCTAATGATGTAACACAAAGACCACACATACAACCCTTATTTTGCCTCGCCGCTGCATTATCGATGACAACTAAGCTTACAAGGTACAACGAATCTAGCCTGTGCCCGATACTGCGAGCTTCATAAGATGGTCCATGAAAGTCTGCAGACTGACGTCGTCGGTGAAGATGGTTTGAGCTGTCGCAGCACCGCCATAGCTGTTAGTTTGATGTGTGGTCGAGGGGTTGAGCTTGCTGAGCAGGAAACGAGCTTGTGAACCGCCGGCATCACAGACGATGAATCGAGGCAATGGGAAACGATCCTGGATGAGCTCCTTGGCATCCTCCTTCGGTGCCTCCAGAAGCTCTCTGAAGTTCTCGTAACCTTCTTGCTCTTGATATCCAGCCTTCCGCCATTCGGCCATTGTTTCGCCGTGGAAGATGAGGATGTGGAAGAATGTGTCGAGCAATAGCACCGTCTCGTTTTGGATGGAGCTAGAGTCAAGCAGAACAGGCTGACCACCCTCGTGGTCGAAGCCGTAGCTGTCTAGTGTTGGCTGAATCATGATGAGGGAGTTGCTAACATCCTCGTGGTTCAAGACGTGACGATAGAAGGCGGTTTCGTCGGGCGAGTTGTTGAAAACCTGCAGGAACTGCGACCGACGAAGATGGAACATGAATTGCGGGTATAGTGTAAAGTTCTTCTCGAGCCTGATCTAGTAGTTAGTATTTGATAGTGAAGCGAGAACTATATGTCCAAAGTGATGAAAGACTTACCTGAATGACGACGGGTCATCTTTCCTGTACTCGGCGAAGCGAGCGCACAGTCGGATAAGCATGCGATCGACCCATCGAAGAACGTCAGGGCCATCGTCAACCTCAGCCTTGAAGACTGCTATCCTCGACATGAGGACGGCAGCAGCTTCTTGGTCAAAGGACTGGGCGATAGCAGGGTCGCCAGATGGACCGCTCATGGGTCGGGCCACGGTGGTAACTGTGAATGTTTAGTATGCGTGCTTAGCTTAGACACGTTTCAGGGAGTTCATACCTCTCAAGTGATACTGGCCAGCGGAGTGCTGATAGTATGTGAGGAACTGAATGAGAGCCTGTTGCTGCGTAGAGGTCACGTTGGACCCGCCTTGGTTGGCAATCTCGAAATAGATCGAGTATGAGGCTTCAGGGTCGATGCCGCACATTTTCCAGGCGCATGTGTTTCCGATACCGCATTCCGTCTCACCAACAGAGACTGACTTCTTGTTCTGCGACACAGCGTGTCCAATAAGACCAGTGATCTTCAACTCTCTGGTTGTCAACACCTCAAACTCGGCATTGAATCCCATAAGGAGGTTGTCGTCCGCATCCTTGTTGAAAACGCGCACGAAGGATTGCTTATACATGGACGAGGTGAAGCTATCCGTCAGGATCATGTGTCCACCAGTGTTGTTTGCAAGACCCCTCATCTCCAGGAGACCGACCTGATCCAGACATCCGGCAAAGATGTCAACAATATGGCCGTTGTGGGAAATGCGCTTCGCAAGGCCCTCGTAGAACTTCAGTGCCTTCTTGTAGTACTTGATGTTGTCGCGGTCGATGTCGTGGTGCGATCGGATGGGCTCGCGCAGCTCCGGGCCAACGACCATACCAGGTCCCTCGGTGGCTGGACCACCGCTGAACAACATGATGCGGGCGGCACTGTTCATGAAGCTCGTCTCCAGGAGTCCAGCAGCGACGCTGAGCGCCACACCGGTGCACCTCAAGGGACGCTTATCGTTCGCGACCGGCCAGGGGTCCCGTTGGATTGATTCGAGAGCGTTGGTCAACTGCAATTCGCACTGCGATACGGGTAGGATGAAGCGCGTGCCAACGCCACCTGGAGCGCCCATAGGTGGACGTCCAGGCTGCTGTGGGACACCAGGTCGAGGAGCCATCTGGCTAAGGCCTAGCATCTCGTGCACTTGCTTGGTGGAGTAGTCCTTGCTTCCGCGGAAGACGTACGACTTGGCGCATTCGGTGTAGCCCAGCTCGTGTACTTGTGTCTATGGCTGTCAGCTTATAACACTAATTGTAGCTTCCTCTACCTACCATTGTACCGTATGTGACCAGACCGACCAGCGCGTATGCTGGGAGCAGGCTCAAAGCCATGATGATCGAGTCCTTCAGCGCCTTCAAGCTGTCTTCCTCTTGACATGTGTCTACCACAAAAATGAAGATGGGCGGGCTCGGTATGGGTCGGGGAAGGCGGTATTCGATCGTGGTACTGTTCGGGTGCATCTCTGGGGGCATCTGCTGGTTGGAGATATCCTTGTAGTGCGGGGGGAGGTGATTGCGGTTCAAGCAGAAGGGGCATATCCATTGGTTGGCGCGCATGTCAATTTGACTGCCTCAATGTCAGTATGAGATAAGTTGCAAGAGACTATGCCAGGCATACCAGTAGGGGTTGAGGATAGCTTTGCATGGCGCCCTGCAGCTGACAGGCTCATACTGGAGCAGCGGCGTGTCTGTCTTCTCCTTGAGAGGCGTGTAGTGTGCACCAATGGGAACGACTAGGCGGGAAGCTTCCTGTGAACCATATCAGTGTCTTGCATCCCTCGCGCCGGCGGTATCTATCGTACCATGCGCGTGCTGGGAAACGTGTTCCAGCTGAGACGGACGCCATCCCTGTCTTCAATGTCGCTCCACTGGTCCTTGAGCGCCTCGAAGTCGGCCATGCTGGGCGGTTGCAGCTATCTGGGCTGCGCGAGGGGGTCTGGGGTGGGTGAGGGTTGTCGAAGGTTGGTGGTGGAGGGACCGAGGGCGCCCACGATGGGAGATTTGGCGGGGCGGTGTGAATGTAGCAGGCGCGAGACGGGGAGCTGTAGTGGTATGCAGCAGAAGATACCGAGACGTGTCAAGTGTTCCTCCCGCAAGGCAACAACTGCACAGGATAATGCAACGTCGTAGGAAGCTCACGCACTTGAACTTGCGTGGATACCTCAGTTGGCGATGCGGCCAGATGTTCTTGCCCTAGCGCTCCCAATCCGGCCTAGCATCACCGAAGCTCCGCTCCGCCCCAGCCTCAAAACCGCGATTTTCCTCGCTGTCGTCCTTTTTCCTCTTCATCACCGCCAGCAACAAATACACTACGTAACGGCAGGCTCCCATTTCTCTGATGAATGAGCCTGTTTTCGCGCTGCGCGAAGAAGAGATTTAGACCCATGGCTGGGCGCCCGATCTGGAAAACTCATTCTGAGTATACTGATAGGTTGGGAATCAGCAGAGGTCACATTCCATCATCGTGCAGCCTTCGTTATTAGAATCTCGTGGGCCTTCCTCGACGACGCGTTTGTACAGCAAATTCATGTCCTTTCGTGGGGGCAAAAGCCCTCATCACTACGTTACTGTTCAAGCGGTTCGTTGCGAGACGAGTGTGGCCATCTTGATCCTGTCAGACGTGGCCGATACCCGTGCAGAATTTGGACTTCATGTAGCATATACTACTACACCCCCGTCAACCACCATCATCCAACGCAGTCTACGGATCCAATTACACATTGCCGGAGACACGTCCGATGTTCCCGTTGGAGCCTCCAGGCCTGCAGCTGTGTTTGGACGTATGCGAACTCCTGATATATTAACAATCTGAGTCCGATCGGGTAAATGCGTTGCAATACACTAGCCTCATCACCTGCCAGCGTACTGTGCGATGCATCAGAACTTGGGTATATATGTATTTGTGGTGTGTGTAGTATCACTTGTTGCGTTCTGTATTCACCAAGTTTAGTCAATGCTACAGTCCATGATCATGGCTCGCACCTCTGCACTTCTCATCTCGCTTCTTGCAGGTCAAGCCTGCGCTCATACTTTCATCTGGGTATGCTCAGCCATTCTCAACTCCCCTGTTCCTATACTAACACCCCCAGGGCGTCTTCGTCAACGGCATAGACCAAGGAACCTTCAAAGGCGTCCGCATCCCCGCCTACAACGGCCAAAATGGCAAAGGCGGCTACAACAACTCGCCCGTCAAAGACCTCGACTCCATCGACATGCGCTGCAACGTCATGGGCGACATCCAAGCCCACGACACCATTAAAGTGCAACCTGGCGACAATCTAACCTTCGACTGGCACCACGAGAACCGCAACAACAAAGACGAAGTCATCGCCAACTCGCACCATGGCCCCTCGCTCATCTACATCTCGCCCGATCCGCCGACGGAGAACTCCTTCGTCAAGATTTGGCATGAGGGGAAGTTTGAAAGTAATCCTTTTCCGCAGGCGGGCAAGTGGAGTACCACTGGTGATATTGCGATGAACTTTGGTCATATGAATGTGAGGGTGCCGGAGGGGCTGAAGGCAGGACACTATATCATTCGTGCGGAGATGGTTGGTCTGCATGAGGGCGATGTGAGCTATCTCGCGAACCCGAAGAGAGGCGCACAGTTCTACCCCGACTGCGTTCAGATCGAGGTTGAAGGCGATGGCGAGGTGGAATTGCCTGAAGGTGTGAGCTTCCCTGGAGCGTACTCTTATGAGGACCCTGGTGTTGTGCACAACGTAAGTCCTTTCTCTAATCAAGTCCTGGCGCATAGTTCGTTCGCTGACCTGACGCAGGTATACTGCTCCACCGAGACCAAGAAGCCAAAGACATCAACCACCCGCTGCGTCACCGACTACGTTATCCCAGGTCCCACTGTATGGTCTGGTGCCTGGGCTGAGACTACCGCTGTTCCAGTCGGGCCTGTCGATGGTGTTACAACTGCTACTGCGTGGAGCACATGGATTGGCACCGATAGTGTTGTGACCAGTGCGACGTTTGCGGATGTGAAGAGTCAGACGATTGTGGGAAGTTCAAAGTACACTGCGAGCTGGAGCGACACGTATGCTACGCCTACTGCGACTGCTGCGCGTTGGTAGATCGAGGTCGACAGAATGTGGGCTGTGGCTCTACGCAAACTTGACTGCATTTATTCGCTAATCTTCGTATCCAGTTTGTTTTCTGAGACCTTTGCATCTCGTGCTCGTTTGAAGAAGACGTGGAGCCAACTTTTTTCGAGATACTTTTTCATCAATTTCACGTCTCTTCACAGACTCCGGATCGCAAAGCAAAGCTTTTTCCACACGGTGCCACATGCATGTAAAGTCGCAGCCAGCTTATCTGACCGACAATCATATCGCTCAGTCATCCAAGACTATGACTTCAGGCTTGCGCTTCTTTGCCTGTCTGCGTACGTCGCCATCGTCAACCGACTCACGCTTGATGGGAGTAGGCTCCGGCTCATCGTCCTATGTTTTGTTAGTGCCGTCGCGAATCTACTTCTCGGAACACTTACCCGGTAAGAGCTGAGTAGGACAGCCAGTTCCTTCTCCGGAAGACCTTCCAAACCCTCGCTGCTACCGCGATAATGCTTGATGAGGATGAGCATGTCTTTCTTGGTAAGCCCTGCCTGGTCGCGCTGAGTACGGGAAGTGGAGTTCTGTCGCGGTGGAGCTGGACTAGCAGCAGGTGATACGATGTTCGGTGTCGGCTGAGGTAACACTTCCTCCTTGACCGGCTCTGGTTGTGGCGAGGGACTTGGTGAGCGCGGTAGAATGCCAAGAGACTTGAGTGCGGCTGTTGCTTGTAAGTTCTATGAGCATGTTTTCACACGGATGACTTACCGAAAGAGCGATATTTGAACCGGAATGCTACCAAAGGCTCTTTTGCCTTCTTGGAAACGTATCTAGTACGAGGTTCAATGACATAACCTGGTGCGAGCCTATCTTCTTCAGCATCTTCTACTCGGCATCTGCGATACGGACATACCTTATCACGTGAGAGCGCGCATCGCCCTTCACAGCTTCTTCAGAAACCTCTTCAATCTGACTCAACTCCTTTTTCTTGCCTTTTGGATCCGAGTTCTCCTTGTAGCTTAGGATTGGTGTGAGCGTGACATGTATAGTGCCTACGGATTTCATAGCCTCCAAGGTATCCTCAAACGTTTCGTTGCTGTTGCCCTCAACTGAGGTATTTCAGTCAGGATAAATCCGTGTTTTATGGTTTCATGTAGGGCTTACATACCCACGCTGAGGTTAGAGAAGAGAAAATTTGATGCTCGCCACTCCCCACCATCTTTCCACTCCGTCGTCGTTGACTGAGTGTATGTGTTATCTAGCATAGATTGCTTGAATGCAGGTGTGCTACGAACGAGTGTACCGTCTAGGTACGTACCGATTGACAAATCCATCCGCGGAAAAGGTGATGTGAATTTGGTCTTGATCGCGAACTCAGCGCCCGAATGGCATTCCACATAGCGCGTTGTGGTCTTAGGCAGCTCTTCCTCCTCCTCGTGTTCGTATTCATCGAGTGGCTTGCCTTTGACAACTATCTGCACTTTCAAGCCAGGGTAGTCGCCATGGACCGCCATGTTGATGCTGTGCGGTGTTTGCGTTCGGTTCGGTAAGAGGAGATGGGACTGAGGTGGTTAGAGAAAGTAGGGCGAGTTCCGGTGTAGTATGGACGTCGCTCCAAGCGAGACGGCGGCTCGCTACTTCCAAGCGAAGAATAATTGGAGGTGAAGAGGGAGGTGAGAGCCGCCCACCTGGGCAAACAAATCTTAGAAGCTTGGACCACAGTGACGAAACTGGAAGCGAGGTGAGTCTGTTTAGATTGCTACCTGGGTAAGGTTCTTAAGAACATGGATTGAGGGTTAAGATCGAGTGCAATTTGGTGTTGCAAAACAGCGTCTTTGTGAAGCAATACTTGCTGATATACACTGGCGACCTGCTGACGCAAGCTTTGTCAGTCCTGTCTGCATTCTTCTATGGGACTTCCAAACTTTTGTTCTGCAGGCTATGAATCCAAAAATGACAATTGTACAGGAGTTTTGGTACCGCTGAACTCTTGCACGACCGCAACACAATTCTAGTCCAGCACGATAACCTCGTCATTCGCACCGCGGTGACGCTTTCGATCTCTAGACCCTACAATTGTAATCTCATTGTCATCGCTGGCTTCGACAGCCTCATCGACCCGCTTGCGCTTGTCAACGGCTTCTTTCTTCACCTTGACTGCAGCTGCGTCGCGATCCTACGATAGTGAGTATGTGGTATCTAGAACTTGTGCCATCAACGTACCTTGAACCGCTTGACGAGTTGGCGTAGCTCATCCGGAGTGAGCTCATCTTCAGGCCGCTCTTCTAGAGGTGGAGGGGTGGGCTCGCGTGGGACGAGACCCAGGATCCGAAGAGCATCTAAGTGGGTCAACAGGTGCCATAGCCTGTTGCAGACTGCTTTCACTTACTGATGGAGCGATACTTGAAGTTGAAAATGGCGAAAGGCGAGTCGGTTACCTTGTCATAATCTGCATAGTGCCCTCTTTGCCAAGGTACGGGTTCAGATAGCCTATACATATTAGCGTCATCTATACTGTGTGCGGAGCAATGTACCCAGCTCTATGAGTGTAGGTCTGGCCTTTCAGCGCCTTTTCAGAGACTTGTAATGATTCTGAGATACTCCCGACAATGTGATTTGGGGTACGCGGCCGCAGGTTTCGTACGTAAGTCAAGTCGACAGTGATAGTACCAGCTGAGACCACATCAGAAAGGTATGTAGTACCGTCAACTTCAATCATTAGCTCGGCTTCAGCATTATTCAGGTCTTTCTTCGCTTGAACTTACTGATTTCGAGCTCAGCGAAGCGGAATCTCTGTATCTTATAATGTTCGCCGATTTGGGACTGACGACCCTCAATCATTCTATGTTTGAAGAAATAGGCTTCGGGTATGATTGCACTCATCAACCTTCGCCCATCGAGACTGACCGCAGCTTCAATGTAACCCTTCGGGAAAGGAAATTCCTTTTCTATGAGTGATACTTTGATCGCGAAGCTGGCTCCAGATGTTGCTTCGACGTATTTCGTGACCGTCGTCGGTGACGCGGGAGTGTCGCTATCGTCGTCGTACTCAGGGAGTAGAGCGTTATTGACGATGATTTCGACCCTAAGGCCGGGCAAGAATGGATGAACAGCCATGGCGTAGCAAGATATCTGGAAGTAAGTTGTGTTACTGGTGGGAAGGAAGAAGGAAGGAAGGTCTCGAAAGCAGGATGCTCGGGCCCTTAAATACTGCGTACTGCTGAGCCGAGGTGAGAGACGCAGGCAAGGCGTGAATGGAGCTAACACATAGTGCCGGAGAAGGTAAAGGCAAATGTCATGTTAATAAGTGCTGGCATGCTGCAAGTACATGAGTAGTGCCTAAATTTCCTGAGTGGGTATCTCTGAACATATCTAGATGTGTAGAACGATGTATCCTCCCATGACGTATAAGCCTAACCATGCATACACGCCTGTAGAGGCGGTTCCATACAACAATACTTTGGCAGCATACTTCCATGCGTAAAATTCGAGTCGGCCCAGGGATCGAAGGTCGCTTTCATCTCGAACTATGCCATCTTTTGACGTTTCTATACCACCTTGGGCTCAGCGCCGTGAATACGGAATAGATATCCTCTCTCAGTCTAACACAATGATTTCTTGCTCCGCGTGCAGACGTTTGCGCTGTCGCGTCTCGACATAGGTCACATCGTCGTCATCATCGATGGTCCTCTCGCGCTTGACTCCAGTAGTGGCTTCGTCTTCGGTCTTGATCGAGGTGCTCTCTGACTCTCGCTATATATAGGTAAGTATTAACGCCAGAGACATGTGGCGCATACATACTTGTTGCGCACGATTTAGCAGTTCTCTCAGCTCTGTGGGCGACAGGTCTTTTGCGAGTCTGTCTTCCAGGGGGACAGGAGGCGCTTCGTTCATGGAGACAAGATGAAGTGCCTTTATGCTCGCTTGAAAGTCGTAAGTGTCAGTGGGTGGCACTATATGAGCGCGATCGTGACTCACCAAGCGACCGATATTTGAAGTGAAAAGTCGCAAATGGCTTCCTATCTACATAATCGAACTCTGTCCATTGACTAGAGAAGTTGAAGTGGCATTTCCGAGGCTTTGATAAGCTTTTGAAGAAGTCAGTCCTTTGCCAATCAACAAATTTACCCACTCTCTACATACACTGCTTGGTGCGATAGGGCGTCGCCTTTAAGCGCCTTCTCTGGAATCTCCTGGAGCGCTGCAAGTTGCTGATGTCTATCATCGTTGTAACTTGTATCGTCTGTGACCACATCTTGGATGAATTCGACGAAGTTGAGAGAAAGAGTAATACAACCTTTGATGCTGAGAATTTGCTCCAGAGCAACAACATCGGGGGCAGCCTTATCAGCCTCTTCCGCTGCACAAAACCGTAAGTAGATGACAACAACAGGTCTTTATAGTACTTGCTAATATTCAGTTTGGCGAAGGTGAATTTCTGTTTGACACACTCGCCGCCTTGGTAAGAACGATAGGTATTGACCTTCCAGCCTTGGAAAAGTTCATCTCGCTTGCGTATCTTGATGTCCATCATTACCCCGTCAATAGAGATTCGAGCCAGGACGTCATACTGAGCTGGGAATGGGGTCTTGAATTCGGTCATAATCGAGAAACTCTTGCCTGAGCGCGCTTCAATGTACTTTGTCGTTGTATTCGGCTCAGGAATCTTATCGTCGTCGTACTCCTGCAATGGCTGGCCTTGGACGCAAACTTTGACTTCCAAGCCAGGAAGCTCAGGGTGGATGGCCATCTCGCTGCGCTTTGGAGTGATCTGTCGGAATTGAGGATGCCCCCGCGGTAGTCCAGTGCCTGCGAAGAAGAGCCGCTAAGCTTGTTGCACTGAGGACAGCGTCGGGGTGAGATGTAACACTGACGACCGAATGGAGGGTAGAACTTGTTGATCGTCTCAGGTGAATGCGATCTGCAGCGCAAAGGTTTCATCTGGAATGGAAGCAGTGAGTGTGCTGAAGGCTCGATGTTCAATGTTTGCACTATACCGGATACGGCAACGAGGGATGGCTAGCGCGTGGTGAGAACTGTTGACGGGCAGGAGCGTAGGCAGGAGCGTCCGCTTCAGCACCCTTGACTTTTCCAGATCCGACAGAAGTAGTACACTCGCGGCTGATCAGAAAACGGTGGATGATGTCGAGATCGCTGGTCATTTGGGTGCCATCGTGCGCATTCACTGAGGCGGAAGCCTGGACTCACCTCGAGTACCGCGTACCAGCAATGCAAGTCCCGAGAAGTCGAACGTGGTGAGGCGAGGCATGCTCAGCTTCCGAGATAGTGTGAATCAGACCTCATCTCATGCGACGGGCGCATCTCCTCTGTGGTGAATATCGCGAAGACAGCAATCAGGAATGAAGCATCGTGGCACGGATTGCACTGAGAGAGCCGCCTCCAACAACAAGCAAGCGATTAGTAAACCGGACATCTACGTCAAGTCAGCTACTCAATCATATTATAACTTGGAATGCATCAAGCTCGCAGATGTAGCTAGCGAAGCGGTGATTGACCACGTAACGCTTGAGTTTTGGAATGCCTCTCTAGGCTGGTCACAGACTGAGCGACACCAAAGAATGTTGTTGCTAGAGACGAAGCGAATTCGTACGATGTTGAGCTCATAGGTAAGGCTACTGGTAAAGATCCCGCCCTCCATGTCTTCGGTATATCTGAGTATCTAGATATTTGGCGCGAGCTAGTCGTTCGCAATCAGTGTTGATATCCGCCAAGGAACATGTATGCTCGTATGAGGCACGTCCGATTCTCGCTCGCAAATCAAGATTGTCATGTGACCCTAGAAGATCCAGAACAGAACGATAGAGGTGATGATCAGTGTGAAGAGGAGAAGGAGCATAGACTGCTGCGGGGTCGTTAAAGCAGCCGCACTAGATGAATGATATGCACCATAGACCATCCCACTCTGAACATCACATGTATACAAAAGCTCTCTATATCTCAAAACTCTCCACATGCTTGCGAAGACCAAGATCGCTGCTAAGGCATCAACAATGTTAACGCTAATGCCCATGTACACGTGGAATCCAGTTCCACGGTACATTTTCGCCGACAGACATCCAGCATACCTAGGCAACCTTACATACAGCCCAAAAGCTTACACCTACATCAAGGATCAAGGCTTGCGAGGCTGACATGCAGGTGGCCAAAGCCTACGCGGCCCCAAACGAGCAGCGCTGACAGTGTCGCCATGTGGAGACACACTACTGATCGCAGATTAGCGAGAGAACAAGATCTGAGAAAGCGCAACCCACAGACAGAGGGCTTAGCGCACGAACACCCGTATTGAGACCCGCGTTGAGCGTACCGTTGCCTGATGCATCGTAAACTAGCTTGCTTACCATCATCAGCCTCGCAAGAGGCTCGTAACGTGGACTAGCTGCCTGCACCCGGCTATTTTGCGCCGATGGTGTATAGGATTCTCGTATGCAGTGCGTATGGGTTTACTTCGGAGCAACGACGGACCTTCAACCGACTGCGACAAAGATTCATGATCTGTCAGCGCTGAGTAACGCATGAATAATTTGCAAAGGGTCGCGTGGAATCCGGAGATAACGCAACTCCGCGCGTATTTCGCGCTTCAAGTGTGTCTCGGCGTAAAGTCGCTTTATGGTGCGGCCGAGGTGATGCCACCGGTTAACGAAAGAGGAAGCAGGAATGCTTTTGCAGTGTTGAGGGCCAACAGATTGCGGAGAATGCAGTCAGCGCAGAGGGTGTGGTGAGATTTGACTCGGCAGATCTCCGAACTCGACCGACCGAACGACCGGATGAACTCCGCATCGCGGTATTGGTGTCGCAGGATCCGCTAGATCAGGTCGAATCTCCAGTGACAAAGAAGCAATTATCTTGGTGATGCATCAGTCAGGAGAGCGGTTGTGACTGAGCGCATGACGGATGACGTAGCAAACCAGGTCCCGAATGCCATGAGGCACAAAACCGGAAACGGTCGACGCCCTGTTACATTTCCAAGCCTCACGAACCCCAAAAGAACCGTTGGGTGGGAGAACGTCGGAAGGCGCTTGCCCTGCATATGCGAGCAGGACTTGTAAAATTCTTATCCCGGCAGATGGAGAACAGATAAGAGCATAGGAATAGAAATCCCTGGGCGAGCATTGCTATGCTATCCATACATACTGGAAGATGTATAGTGACCGGTGCATCGAATATGTCACAGCTGCGTTGTGAGTGGAGAAGTCACAAACACGCGACTATCAGGCCTCAGGCGTCATGATCGGCAGTCATGCTTCCTGTCATAGCAGGTGGACCGGCAGAAACTTTGTCGAAAACAAGCAGACGCAGGGTCTCATCATCCCGCGCTCGCGGATTGGCGGGCACAAGGGCTAGGGATGGTGCCCGCTCAGCCGTTGGCGATCGATGACCACATCGGGCGAGCTTCGAGAAGTGATGGGCAGTTTCAATGACCAGCAGGTTGTCGACTAAGACGTCAGGGAAAGGATATTCATTGGGGACATATTGCTTCGCAAAAATAGAAGCGCAAAGCAGGAGTTCTGCACGGCAGTCGTTTGGGATGGATGGTGAGGGAAGGGATGGTGAGGAGACTTCGGAGAGATGATGTCATGGACCCTCGTAAGCGACGAGATAGCATTTGTTCGGTCCGACGGAGATGGACGCAATACGAAAGCGACTGCAAGGACACAGTATTCCCCATGGCATGAGAATGCAAAATATGAAAGAAGAACTCGGGTATGGCATCGAAGGATACAGAAGGCTCGGGTGGCAGGGCGCCGGCTTAGAAATGTGGCTAGTAACTTCGACGCGCGAATGAACGGTCCAGATCGCCTCGCGGCCGCCGGAACAGTTACATTGTCCGTGCATACGATAGGGCTGCACTGCCACATGGTGATGCGATGGACCCTGCATTTGTGTCCTTCTCCACCGATCTTACCCGTTCGAGGCCGTCGATGCGATGCCACGTTGGTTTTAGGGCTGCATTGCAACTCCACAGGATGCTTGCAGCACGTTGCATATGCCGTTTATTCAGCAGGGAGAGTCTCAGTGAAGAGTTTTCCTTGTGCGACCTTGGCTGTGCTCGACCTGTGGCTGTCGGGATGTTGCACGGCAGTGCCGTTGTTGAGTAGAGGATGCTGCCAGTGCCGAAGCGGAAGTGGAGGTTCCACCTGCAGGATAGACGGTATCTGAGCTGACCTCGGATGCTAGTAGTATCGCAGCTGGTAGGTGCACATCCCAGTTTATTGGTTCGTGGATCGATCTCCAGTTTCAGCATCTCTTGAAGAGATGTGCATTGTGCTAGCCAGCAGAGTGGTCCTCGGGAGCCGTTTGGCCACCAGATCCAGCTATCAATTGTACAGAGTATGGGGTAGGCTATTGACGGTTATCTCCAAACGATACCGCGTGTCTTCGCGTCCAATACACGAGCTGAAAGCAGTATCATATCACGGCTTTGGGCCCAACAATCCAACCATCAAAGAGCAGCTGTGAGTCACGCGCGAGGACATGTGACCACTGTACAGGCTGGCCGAGGTGTGGCTGGTGCCCGTCGCGTACTCCATCTGGTACTCGTAATCCACATGCGCTGTCGAGTAGGTTGTGCATGGAACGATGCTGCTCAGCCCGTCTTGGAGCATCGTAGTCCCAGCGAGCCTAAACGGCCAGCTGTTAGACCAGATACGGGCGTGTCACCATGGACAGACCTTTGGAATTGGTCCGTCGCACGATGCCCTACAAGCTACATGCCGACTGCACACTAGAGCGACTGGCACAGCGATGAGTAACGGTTCGGTTCGTAGGGCTCCGTTTCACGTGGAGAGCATGCCTGCAGAGATCGCCTAGATGGGCACAAGCGATTGCACAGTATTTTGGGAGCAAGTCATGGACGCTGGGGGAAGGCCTCTCGGCTGGTATCCGAAGGCATGTGGAAAATTCTGTATGGTAGACAGTCGTCTGCCGGGTTCTGCACAGCCTTCGGTCGGACAGGGCCCGCGGCGGCCGTATGCAGGGTGCGTGAGGGTGGTGTCGATCGCGCCGCTTTTGCGCGTTGGCGTAATGTTAGCGTAGACACCCCTGCAACGCCCAACATGGGTTGCGTCATAGGATGAGGTATGAAAGGAAACCGATTCCGCGTACTCAGCAGCCCAAGCCGTTTAAACTGTCGCTCAGCAATTTGCAATCTCTTACGACACACACATACACCTTAATCCCGACACTCCGAGCACAGCCGACGCAGACTCTGAATTCTTCCAACGTCTTCGACCGCGTGCTGCCCAGATCACCTCATCAAGTGGTCTTTCACTCAAATCGGCGAAGACTAACCGAGTCATCGGCCGGTAGCCCACTAGTATAAAGCAACTTGCCACCCGCGCTGGTCCCTTACTTTTCCTCCCGACCATTATGTTAGCGCTACCCACACAACGTCACCACCTTTCAACCATACCGTCACCACCGTCTTCACACTCCTCCTATCAACACCTGCCCCAGCAGTTTGCCGCACAACACCTCTACGACCAGAAGCTCCTCAACGACTACCTCGAGTCCCAGCAGCAGCAGTACGGCACTTCATCCAGCAGTGCACCCAACTCGTACATGACGAGCGCATACACCGACTTCGCGAACCCGGCCATCCGAATCCAGCAGTCGACACCCACACCGCAGCTTCCCCAGGGCTTCGCACAACCGCCTATGCTCTCGACCAGCAACACCAGCACGGGACTTGAGTCCTGGAACTATGGTAACGTGCAGGGCCAATCGCTCCAG